GCTCTTCATTACTCCTGCCGCCAGCTGAATGAAGATGGCACTTGTGCTGATAGCTATTCCTTTGTGTTCTCCCGGGACCCCAAGGGATTGCCTCCAGAGGCACAGAAAATTGTCAGACAAAGGCAGAAGGACCTTTGCTTGGACAGAAAATACAGAGTTATTGTTCATAATGGTAAGAATGTTTTTTTTCTGAAGAATATTGCTTCAGGGTTTGGTGACTAAAGCACTAGGAGTCAATTAAATAGCAAATATATTAAGTCTTTTAGTTAGTGGCTGTAATATTGTCTTTTGAAAACTGGAACTTGTAGTAAGTTATTTCCAACTTTTTCTTCCCATATCTGGAGGAGAGCTGAGGTGTATAGCTTTTTATGCGGCACATCACATCACATCACCTGAAACAATAATTAGAGGAAGTTGTAAAACAATTATATCAATGTAGTATGAGTAAACATAGTAAGGATAAACTTCATCGTTGCTGTAAAAAGAAGTTGTATCTCTTTGACAAGATCTCTTAGTCTTTCTCAACAAAATAGTTGTGCAAGAGAATAGAATGTATTTTCAAAAACTTCTTTGACAAATTCTTCATGAAAGGATTATAAGTAAAATCACATGTCTTGGAAAGGATACCTTATAGCAGACCCTTTCTCACATATCCTCATGCCAACTGTTTCACAACGGGTGGTGGAAGAGAGACACAGCCTTCATACTGGTAATATGAAGTTATCCTGAATCACATAGTCAGGCTGAGCTTGCAACACAGGGAAGGATACAGATTAGCTCACTTCTGCTCAAAAATATTAAAAAAGGCCAAATAGTAATTTATGCTACTTTAATTGATGATCCAGAAGAAAACTGAATATACTTACTGATAGAGATTACACCTAAAATGAGAAATAGCGAAGAATGAAGAAAAGAGACCATAATATTTAGAAGAAATAAAATAGTCGTGTACCCACCCCTACCTCTCCCCCTAGCATTCTGGAAGACACAATATCTACAGAAGACTTGACTGGTGAACCAGCTGAATGTGAACTCATATGAGAGTGTTCCGCTTTATACCACAGGACATATATATGTTTCCCCTGGAAAGGATACTGAGGTTGAGTTAGAAGCTTCAAAGAAGAGCAGAGAAAACTTGTAAAATATTTCCCCTAGTGAGGGCTTCAGAGATCTAGATCTTTTCTCAGAAACAGGTTAAAGGCTGACCTGAGCAAAGTTTGTGCTTGCCCACACAAGCAGTGGGAATTGGATAATAAAGGACTTGCAAACATAGGGATAATAAATTAAAATAGATGGAACTTTAAAATGGACACATTCAGAGCAGAAATAAATAGCCATTTGTTTAAGTCCAAAGGTCATTAACCTTTGGAACAGTTTACCAAGAGCTGTTGTATGTTCTTCATCACTGAAATCTGTAAATCAAGATTAAAGGCTTTTCTAAATGACATGTTAGAATAAACTGGGATTGACTGAAGGAACTTTTGTGTATTATAAAGAAAGTCAGAACAGATGAGCACAGTCAGCTCTTGTGTCTATTACCTGTTCATCTGCTCTATAAACAAAGAGTAATATATTGCCATGTTGTAAAGTAGGTATGCTGATAACAGGGTGCCTGAAAGATCTGCTAAGATGGGTATTTAGAATACTGATTAGTGACCTGGAAAAAAGTGCTTGACAACAATGGAAACAAAACTTCTGTCTTGAATCTGGAGACAGTATAAAAGACAGATGAGATTTAAGGCACTCAAGACTAAGAGACACTATAAATGCAAATGAAAACGCCTTTTGTGAATGATATCTATGATTGCATAAAGGGTAGGATAGAAAAGAAAGCATGTTGTTATATAAATTGATACTTTCTTGTTTTGAATGCCACATTCACTGCTCATTTCAAATAAACTACAGTGAGAATAAAAATTTCTCAGGATGAGAAAACAAAATAATGACATAATTAGGGATGGTTTTGTATTAAATATAAGGTGAAGTGTAAATATACAGATGTTGTGCTGTGATTTTGAGAGGTGTGTGCTATGGTGATTCTTTGCATTTCTGCCAAACCCAGGGAAAAATATCCCGTTGTAAAATCGGGGTATTGGGCTAGTTCAAGTACCAGCCTAATTCAGGATAGTAGAATCTGTTTTATCTATTATTTCTGCACTATACAAGGCTTGCAAGACAATAAATGTATTGCCAATCTTTGCAAGCATAAACTGAGAAGAAAGGCTCAGTATACTGGTTTATTCATAATTTGGGATGTAACTTGTTTGAATATCTCAGAACTTCTATATAATTGAACGCTTGGTGATTGTTTTTTTTTCCCCACAGAATATGAAACCAATTGTGTAATTTAAAAATGAAAGTTCAGAATGTCTTTTGAAAGTTCAGTCCTAAATGTTCTTTGACTTGCTAACCTTAAAAGTTGATCATGCTGCCTCTAGTTTATTATGGAAATAATCAAATCTGCAGGGTTGCACCGAGTGCTGTGTTCTTTGTCAGCTATCCTAATTTATATTCAAATGTTAGGTGTTACTGTTTGTAAATGAAAAATAGCAGCCCAGGTCCTTAATGCTGTTTGCTTTTTATTGAGTTTGTCTTTATGAGCCCAGCACCAAAGATTAAATGAAAGTTAAAGCCAGCAATTTGCATTTTTCCCTTACTGTAATCAGAACCTGTAATTACCGTAGTGTTAATTGATTCTGAATTATCCACTATCATTAACCCAAAGTTTCTGCAAAGCAAGGATATTTGGGAATGAGAGAATGATTGTGAGCCAAACTGAAAAAAAAACATTTATTGAAAGTTTATATCAGAAACACTTATAAAATTCCCTGAATTCCTTAGGAAGCCCTGGTACTTTAGTTTTCATTCTGCTATTAAGAGCTACAGAATTAGTAGCAGAAAAACCCAATTTCAATTGTCTGTACTGACCTGCATTCAGCTGTTACTGTGGTAAAATTCTGACTGAAATTCACAGATGCTGCAAGAATAGGCTTGTGTCTGTTTCTAACTGTGCATATTCAATGTCTTGACACTAATTTCTCCCCCAACCCCCAAGATTTTTCATTAGCTTTTCAAATCAATGCTGTACTTAAAGAACTTAAGTTCCCAAAAAAATCAAGTAGATGTACAAAACTTACCTTGATGGGAGAAAAAAAATCTAAAATACCTATTCTTTGTATAGTGGCTAAGGCAGAAGCTTGGGAAATGATGAGCGTTTTGGTTGTAACTTGCATTGCATTTCTGATGGTAGCTCCTTTTGAAATATGGATCCAGCTCTGATACACTTAGTGTCTCAGAAGAATAACATAGGTTGCTCTGAGTTATACAAATATGAGTGTGGGCATCACAGTGGGACTACTTGTAAACACAATACAAAGTCATGTCAGTAGAGCTGTAAGCTGAATTTGCTGTTAGCATTTGCTAGAAGCAAAAATTGTGAATTAAAGTATGGCATATTATCCCAGCTAATCTACTATTGCCATTAGTTTTGGAGGTCAGGAGAGTCTTACTTTGTTGAAAGACACTCTTAAATTAATAATTTTTAAAAGGCAAATAATTTGAAGCTTGATAAAGCAAATAAATAACTTTTTTATCACTGATCTATCCAGTCCCTTGTTTGCCAAAGTATTAAAATGCTCAGGACAGGTGTAATAGATTGGGAGAATTCCTGTTTTGCTCCAAGTTGGAAATTCTTTGGAATTACAAACTGAGGAGCAAGGCACTGACATTGCATTATAAGTAACAGCTTGCTGAACTCAAGAGCATTTTAAAGGAAGTGTTAAATTGGTGAAAGTTTGTATATTTCAATTTTGTCTAGTGTGGCTGAGAACCAAAATTATTTTTTTTTTTTTTTTTTAGGATTTTGCTCTTAAGGAAATCCGAAACTATGGAAAGAAACCACATAACAACACCATGGATGTAAAGTTCACACTTTGATTGGGTGTTCTCTTGAAAACCTTTTAAATGGCTTAATTTAGATTTTGAGTATATTTATCTGAGCTGTGTAGCTCATCTTGTTAATAAACCAATGAAACATTTTAATAAACTTGGATTACAGGGGATTCAAATTGTTTGTATGCAAATCTGTACATATGGAGACATTGGCTTTATTAGTAGACCATTTTCTTAATGCACTGTTTTGAATTGGTCACAGATAATAATTAAGAATTTATTTTTTCTTTTTTTTAGCAGTTTCAATTTCTGACTGAAGAGTTTCCATTAAAAAGAACCAAAATAAATGTATTTTAATTTATTTTCAATACAATGTCATCTTTTCTCCTAGGAAATACTGGAAATCATTCCCAATAGCATTTTAGAAAAGAGGAAGAAATTTCAGTGAGCCTATATATCACTGATTAACTTTATTACATGCCTACTGAATTCATAAAAAATATGCATCTTTTAAAAAGAACTATTTTACACACAACAAGTAAACATTTCTTTATTCCTTATTTATAAATTAGAAGGCATTATGTCCATATTTTTAATTTGAGGTGGAATATAATTGGTTATTCACCTGGTGATACTACCAATATGATGCTTATCATCTTGTTTCCTACATGAAATTGGTTAGTCTGCTCAAACCTGTGTTCAGGCAGTCAGTTATCTAAGTGTATAATCAAGGGCCTGTTTTAAATGGGATTGAATAAAAGAGAGATACTTTCTGAGGATGTGTATTTTCACTAGAAAGTTAATCTCTTACTCAGTAGAAAATAAAAGAGTAAAAATAGATCAAGTGCCCCTGATACAGACTCACTATAACTTCATTAATGACATTTATGCCAACTAAAAATGTACCCTCATAGAAATTAATTCGTCTGGTATGTACTTATTTCAACTATTTAAAAACACCAAGTTAACTGCCATATTCATACCTATTTCAGTGTAAGTGGCAAATTAAATCCATTGGATTAAATTGTCCAAATCTTACTAAGGCAAAACAGCGAAGTCGAGAATTTTACTTTCAGGAATCAAAAATACAGATTCTAGTTTGCTTTTTTTTTTTTTTTTCTGTCTCTGGCATATAGTACTATAACATAGTGACCTATTCAACTTGGGTTAACATAGACATTAACATCAAAAATGTGTCACAACTTAAACTTTAAATAATTATCTGCTAATGAAAGACAGATTTGGTTGTTCATGGTTACTTCTTCTTACAGTGGTTTCTGTACCAGCCCCATGCCTTACAGGGATCCCTGTACAACAGAGAAAAATTTCCTGACATTTACGTCTGAAATGGGCAACATTATACAAAATTGGATTGACAGCAGAGTTGGCAAAAGTGAATAACACTATCCAGAAGAAAACTGATGGAAAAATAATTAAATCTTCTTTGTAGTTCTGAACTAAGATTAAAAGAATAATTATTATAATTGGGCTCCACATGATGAAGAAAGAGATCATCAAAACAACAAGGGTTCGGAATAGTTTGTAGTCTTGTTGGGAAACACGGATCTGATGATTTTCTGAGTAGGCTAAGCCAGCATTTAAACTCCTTCTTGATGCTTTTGTAATCTGCAGTAAAAGAAAAGAAAGTAACTTTCACTGAAACCTAGAATAATTTTTAACACATTTTTACAGGTGCAAAAGTAAATCATAGCACATAACGTTTCTGTTTTGAAAAGTGACCACAAAAAGGCCTTTCATAATTCCATTTTACTTTTTGTCAGTGGCTCCATTTCAAATGTTCTCACTTTACTAGCTTTTTTTTTTCCTTTCAGCTGTGAACTCATGTCAGTATTAGTCAGGCTGGTTGATCTCCTTATGGCTTTCTTCCATGCATAAATACTTTTCAGCATAAAACAGAACCTTAATTACTCATGAAATCCCATTAACTTTAAATTATGACCTCATTTGTTCTATCTAAATAAACCCATTGATTTTTTTCACAAATGCAAACTGGAACATAATGATCAATCCTATTGATGCACAAGGAGGAATGCAATCCAGTTCTCTTACAGCCATGCTGGTATTATAAGTCAGGTATTAGACAGATCATGAATTTATTACAGCAACAAATAATGAGATGTTTTAAATGTGAAAGAAATTTTACTTCAGGTTTTGTGTAAAGTTTCAGTCAGTAATCAGAATTGTTCTCTGTGAACTAACCTGGAAATTTACAGATCCATTTGTCACTAAGAAACTGTGTTTCTTGTAAAAGTACAGTCCAATGTAACAAACCAGACTACGGTAGTTTGGGAATCCAGTATTCATGGGGGTCAAGCATCTGTCACCAGGTAGAATAATGAATCCCAATGGCTTGCAGAAAACTCTGAATCTCATGCACTACCTCCCCGTCTTCACTGAAGTTGGCATGGCACAAGTAAGTCTGTTACATTCACTTATCTGATGCAAATAAAACAAAATCAAAATACATAGCATACAAACATTTATGCTAAATAATTGAGATGCCATTCTATCTCCTGCATAGGTAAAGAAGGGGTATTTTCAAAAGCCTGGATCAATTTGATGTAACGAAAGTAAGTAGGAAAGCCAGAAGGCTAAGATTCTTCCTACTACTTATATGTGTGACATTTCCCTTTAGCAGTAACTAATGGAAGGATAACACTAATACTAGTAATGTTTAGTAGCTTCTTGGTTCAGGTAAGGATCAAAATGGTTATATCTATTTATATATAGGGAGAGAAAGAGAGCAATTTTCATTTTCCCTGCAGTTTTCTAAATTGGTCACAGAGGGCGATGGCCTAGAATAAATATTCATTAAGAACCCAGATATCTACCAAAAATTTCAAGAGAATGCAGGTGTGTAAATCAAACCAACAATGGGCTTCTCAGCAGCTGCTGAGCCTGAGAACGGAACAGCCTCAGTAGCTGCTTCTCTGATTCAAAATGGGCAGAGAATTCTGACATTTTCAGCATGTAAAACTATTCTAGGCTGATGATCTTCTGCTGTACATATTTGCAACCCAGAAACTAGGCTAACTCCTCCAAACAATCCAATCCAACAGCTGGTCTCAGAGGGCACCTAACCTGTCTTAGTAAATATAAAGGACTAATATCTCCTTCTAATATAAAAGTGGGAAGAGCAAGTTCTGTGCCCTGCTCAGCCTCCACTGTTCAAAACGGCCACAGTATCTGTCCCATATAAGCATCCTCCATCTTTCCTGCTGGTGTTGTACAGCTCATAACTAAAAATGCAAGAATCATCAGGATTGCAGTAAATAAGATGTAACTGCATTGTACATAAGTGCTCAGCTGACATGGGCTGGCAGAGAAATGTTTTGGATCCCTTTTTGGTCTGCATAGTATAAGTAGATGGGCATCTGGAACACACTCTGAGAAACAGGAGCTTAGAAGTCAGGTAACTTCCAGAGCACAAATGTCTTTAGTAGTTCTAGCCTCTTATGTAAGACTTGCCTGCAAGAAGGAACAGTGCAAAACCAAATAACTTAACTACAAATCATAGCTTCTAATCTTACCACTTTTGCCAGTGCTCTAAGAATATATATATATTATATAAATATAATAGTTTCAGATTAAATTGTAAAGTATACATTTGTAGAGTATATTTGTTAACAAATTTGAGGTCTTACATCTGTATCATCTTACATGTGAATCATTATCATCACAGATGCTGTATTAATTGAATACATGAATGCTCTGAACTGCTTCCAGCAACACTGAGCATTGTACTCTGTGCTCACTGGCACCACAGAGCATTCTCATGAGGTGAGAGTGAATCTGCTTTTGGGAATGATTTGGGGATTAAGACATTCTCCAGCTGAGTTCTGGCTGCTTCCTGAAGAGTGTGTGAGAGAGCAGATTCAGTTCTAACAGACAGGATCCTGCTATGGGCTCATTCTTTTCTCAGATCAAGAGAAACGTTACCTCATCATCTGTGTTATCAAGCTGGAAAAGAAACATGAGCATGGCAGCATGGAGCTGTTTTGTAATCCAGTATTCTATACACTTTTTCAGGCTTCTAGTTCTCTACATGCCATTTTGTTTTCTAAATTTATTTATTGTAACCTGGCATCTGCAAGGACAAGAGGTGCCCAAGGACTGTGACATTCCTGGGCCTGCAGTTTTCTGCAGTGCTTTCCAAGGGCTCAGACTTCCCACTGAGTTCTGTATCTTCTTTCCCTACAGCAAATAATGAGGTTACAAAAGGCAGGTGCTTTACCTAATGCATTTACCTCAAGCTTATAATGAGTTTCCAGCATGTACAGAAACTAAAAGCTGATGATTTTGACTACAAGTGAAAGCCTGACCAATAGGCAAGTACATGCAAAGCCCAGATTCTCAGTCCTATGTTCATGGAAACATGCATTGCAGCTCTGGTGCATGCCCCTTGGTGCTCAGGATTTCATCAGTTAATTCCCTGCTCAATAATATGTGTTTTTTGTGGTTCCTTTCCAAAACCTGTAATTTTCCTTATAGATAGTATGTGAAGTTTAATTGTCTAATACAGGAATCAAGAATCTTTTGGAAGTAATTGCTAAAGATTAGGCATTGCAGCTCCTAGTTTGAAGATTCTTTCCCACTCTGGTTTTGGAAGAGGAAGAAGGAATCAGATGTTTTAAAAGGAATTCAGGTAACTAACATCATGCTTGCTAGATGAGATTAAAATTATTATTAGTTGATTAGAATTCTGTGGTGCTTGGTGTCTTGGTCTACATTTCAGCAGTTAAACAACATCTACACACAAAGAAAGTGGAAGCAGATTGTTTATGGTTTTTTGTTTGCAAAGTTTGAAATTGTGGAGGAATAAGTGTATTCTAATGAGAACTGTACTAAAAATACATGCAGAAGATCAGCAGACATAAAAGGGGATGTTTTTTTCCTTTGCTTTCTTACAAATCCCTTGTAACTCTGGAGTTAAGGCTCAAGGAAAGCAAAAGCTTATTTTTCATTACTTCAAATGCTTGACTCTTTCAGCGTTCAGCAGATTGACAGTCTAAATATGAACAGCACATAAGTGGAGAAGTGTATTAAAAATAATATGTAAATTAATGCAAACTTCATGTTGGGCTTCTGGTAATGTGCTGTTCAAGCATTTGCTTAGTTGAAGGGTATAGGCTGCTACGTACTGGTTGAAGTGCCTTATTTTGTATCAGTACTTAACCATTCACTAAGCAAATGTCTGTTCCCTTTGGGTGTATCTGTATTCAATGACCATATGGTGATGCCTAGTGAGTTTACTTCCCTTTGTTCTGCAACAAAATTTAAATGAAAAACATACCTGTAGGATTTTGGAGTAACTGATGACAATGACTAATCCTGGTACGAGAAAGAAAACAGTGGCAAAGGTCACATCCCAAACTATTTCTCCTGCATTGCTGGGCCAAACCAAGGTGCAAATCTGAATGTCCTGTTTGCAAAGAGTAGAGAAGAGAATTAACATTGTACCATTCATTATTTTTACTGCAAAGTTTTCCTTATCTTTGTGTCTACAGAGAAAAGGGCTGAAGACCAAACTGAGTTAGTGAAAAGATTCTACTTAAAGCAATTAATGTATTTACTTCATGGCTTTAAAAGCCCATACAATTCCAAATAGATATGTTGTCTACCACCTGAATATTGCACAAATTTCATATCAAATGCTAACAGCAACTTTAACATTGAAACTTCTAGACCTTAAACTTGGTCATGTATTTGAGCGTTGTGTTGGGTGTACATCTGTATGTATTTCAAAATAGTAGCAGAAAAATCTGTGCATGGCCGTTTTGTCCAGGGCTGCTGCATGTTCTGGGCAGCTCTCCCTGGGTGCTGCGCCCCCAGTAAGGGGGAAACGTGCAGAAAAGCGCATCTCTTGATTCCCTGCATACTGGGGGACGCAAAGCCATCCCAGGCGATGCCCAGCTCCCACCTAACGGGAGGGTCCGCTGGACGGGACAGGAGGGTGCAGCAGCGGCGGGTGGGGGTCTCTCTCCGGTCGTTCCTCGGGCACGGCCTCGTCTCCTTCCCGTAGCACGGAGCGCTGCCCGCTCCCTAGAGCATTTCCCTTCGGTGACAGGAGCGCACGAGCCCCCCTCCCTGCCCCGACTCCTGACACCGCCCGTCGCCCACTCTCCTCCGGCCCGGCCGCCCACCGCCCCGCTGCTGCGGGCCCTGCACTGCGCTAGTCCTCACCTCGCCGGCGGCGGGCAGCCGCACCACAGAGAAGAAGCAGCAGAGCGGGAGTGTGGCGAAGGCGGCAAAGGCCCAGATGAGGAGGAGGGCGGCGGCCAGCGCCTTGCGGCGGCGGAGCGCGGCGTGCCGGAGCCGGGCGATGCTCACGACACGCTCCAGGCTGACGGCCGACAGCGAGAGGATGACGACGGTACCGCTGAGGCTCATCACGTAGAAGAGCATGTGGCAGACGACGTCGCCCAGCACCCAGGACTCGGTCCAGCGCACGACGGCGATGAAGGGGATGGCGGTGATGAAGAGCAGGTCGGCGCAGAAGAGGTTGAGGACGAGGCAGTTGGCAGCAGAGAGCCGGTGCTGCCTTCGCACCAGCAGGTAAATGCCCCAGATGTTTCCCGCCAAGGCCAGCAGGAAGATGGAGGCCAGGGCAGATGACTCGCCAATTCGCAGGGCCGTCACATTGTAGCCCCTGAAGTCTGAGAAGAACGGGAAGTAGGACCTGTTCCCCCCTGGTGCACTCCTGGACCCCAGCATGAGGGTGGCCAGTAGGCATGAGGGACCCACCGCCGGCAGCGGTGCCAGCCCTAGGGAAAGGGCTGAGCTCCCAGCCACCACGGTGGCACCCGGGGTGTCCTCCCAACACAGAGCAGGGGGCTGGCTGCCATCCCCCTCCCTCCTCTTCCTTCTGCCTGTGCTGCTGAGGGCTAGGCTGTGCCAGCCAGGTGGTTTATGGCCCTTGCGCCAGTGTGGAACAAGGAAGTGGGAGGGCAAACACAGTGCGGCTCACACAAAGGCGAGGCCGCAGTGTGTGGGGAGGCAGGAAGGGGTGAGCGGGTCTCTGGCACCTCCATGCTGAGGGGCCCAGGCCTGGTCACCTCCTCCAGAGCCAGCCCTGCTATGCTGTACAGGCAGGTCGCTGAGGCACGAGTGACCCAGGCCCAGCCAGCCTGCTCCCTGTGCTGGGGTCGCTACATGGCTTAAAACAGAGGGATGGCTGTCAGACTGCTTCAAGAGCTCTTCTTGGGTGCCTGGGATGACCAGCACTGCTCTGAGGTAAAAAACAAAGGAACTTATCCATTGCCTCATGTCTTGACAGTGGCTTTTTGAAACAGCAGTCCTGTGCTAACCGCGGTCTGGCATGGAGGGGAAGTGTCAAAAGTGCCACTGTCTTGATTTTGGGGGTCTGTTTACTAAGCTGATGTAGAGTGTTACCCGCCTGTTGTTATGAGTTCTTGCTGAAGAAGCCTGGTAAATTAAGACATACCTAGAAAATAACCATCTTGCCTCTGGGCAATTCCTGAAAGCAGTTGCTCGAATTGTGAATGAAAGTAGACCTTTCTGATTGCGCTCCTCACTCCACATGGTTTGGAAATGGTCCAAATGGTAAAGCACATAAATCGTCACAGACGGGCAGATAATGTCTCATGTTTTCGTGAAGTATGTAAACAGCTGTGCAACTTCAGGCAGCTCTGGATGGATTCGTCTTGGTGCCAGAGCAGGTGCTTAAGGATACAGTTACAGTCTTGGCCATATGGAGCTACACCTTTTGATTAGGTGAGAGTTATGCCAAACCTGTGTGCCAATGGGACCAGGTGACCAGGCGGTGCTTCCATGTACTCTGGGTGTGACCCTGCCATCACCCACTTACGCAATGGCATTAGTGGGGATTCCAGATTAGGGAGATTCCAGAAACTCAGTCCTTCTAAGGAACAATCTCCTAATGAGGAATGACAAGAGTGAGATCTTTGCTGGACTGCTTCCCATGTCCTTGACAGAGCAGAACTGATTTTAATTAGCATGTTTTCTCTCGAGCTATAAGTGGTTCTAACAGTCTGTGCTGTTTCATCAAACAGGGAGTTTGCAGGGCAGCTTGAACAGGTGGATGAGATGCTCCTACTAATTCCTGCTGATTGATGACCATATGAATTGTGGGCAGATCTGCTGTTAAGTGGGTGGCTGCTATGAACTATGAACTTAAATGAAGACAATAAGAAAACTTGCAAAGATGATTTTTTTTTTGGCAGCCAGCAACACAAGTGCCTGGCAAATGTCTCAAAACACAGATTTTATTCTACATCATTTGCTGGGAGAAAAAAATCTGCACCCATATTGCAAAAGTTTCAGCAAATTTAACAGAACTACTGAGGATGATTATCCATACTTATGATCAAAGCTTGACATATCTAGTCACAATTTATGTTGGCTTTGCTATGGACTGATTCTGTGAAATGATTAGTGAATCTTGAAATACAGCAAATACCTTCCAATTGTCACAACCTCAAGTGCCTGGGACTTCATGCAAACTGACAAACTATCCCTGAAGTCCTGGGCAGCTGGCAGTGGTGGTGATGTGGTCAGCTCTGAACAGAGGCTGGCAAAGAGCCACATTAGAAATCTAGTTGTACCTGTGTGCAAACTTGGAAGGCATTAACAGGATGGGCCAGGGTGGGTGGCTGTTGGAAATGGTAGCTGAGATAAATGCAAATTTTGTTATGAATGAAACCTTTATAGCCTTTGTCATTAGCGGAAAATGAAATTAGAACAGAACAGGGGAAGGAAAACAGGGAGAGAAACATCCAAAGCAGAATATTGAAGCAATGAGGATATTTTCAATCAGGGAAGAAGGGAATGCCATAGAGGAGCAGGTTTGAAAATGAGATGATGTGTGGAAGTATCTGCATAGACCCTTGATCTTCTTTAGAAAGGATCACCTTTAGCTTTGGTCCTTAGGTGTGGATGAAAATCTCAGCATAAGCCCACTGTTTGCTGAGGAGAACCAAAGCAAAACGCTGCTTTTAGTCTGCTATTGCTGAGTAAGCTTTGTGTTGAATTGTGTGCAAAATCCTGTGCCTGGGGACAGCAGAAGTGTGAAGAAACTTGCATGTTTCCAAGGGGGTTTATGAAATGAATGGGAGCTCCTTGCAGGAAGAAAACCTGTCTGGTTACTCATGGGTCTAATGCACCCATTATATTAAAAAATAGTTTTGTTTTCCCTCCCGTGAAGTACAAAAGCTGTATTTGCTGTTGGGTAACTACAATCATAGCAACCATTACAACATGAAATCTGAGGAAGGGAGGAATTGTAACTTCAACAGAGCTACTCTGGCATTACTGTAATGGGCAGATGCTGTGTGTGGTATATACTCTATGTGTGCTTAAGACAAGGAAGTGATTAAGAGAATGCTTGGAAACCAGTTATGGTTACTTAACCTATATATTTTTTTCAACCTACCTGTATAATTTTTTCAACCTATGTTCTCTTTAGCACTCAGAAATGGCAAAACGTGGAGTCAACTCAAGTTTCATTGTTCCAGGTTAAATGGAAGTTGCAGGGACCTCTGTGGAGCTGGTTAGCTAGTCTCGCAGGCAAAAATCCTGTTTCATTTTTTGTTTTCATCCTGGCTGGAAATCTGAGTCTTTGACTTCTCTACGGCAGGTAAGAGCTGTGTTATCAGGTACTTGTAAGTCAATATCTTTTTTTCAGACTGTGTCCTGACAACCATGAACTGGCATGACAGATGGGGATGGTTCAGCTTATTTATTTCTTGAGCATAAGAAATATTCTCAGAGAGAGGGACCTGTTGGGCTAGGTAATTCTGGGAGATGGTGATCCTGGTTCCATTTGGACATGACCTAAGGAAGTTTCTACCTTATTTATGCATCCTCTTGCATGTAGATTGGTGTTGAAGTCTTTGGGTCTATTTTCATGCACCTGTATCACAATGATTAAATAGTACTGACATCTGTAACAGATGTATTGCATATTTAATGTTTGCTAAGTGATTTAAATTCATTGCATTAGAAAAATTGACTTTTTGTCTTCACAAAAGATGTTCCAATCTTGTAGGTGACTCAAGCTGTGTCTATATAAGGGTTTTAGCATAAGTGGCAACCAGGGTTAGCTTTCCCTTTTCACTTTTGTTTTTGCATACCATATTGCAGCTCTTCTGCTTCTGGACACTGTTAATTCTGTGCTTATAAGTTATGCTATTTTAAGGTTTGATTCAAATGCAAATCTGTTTTATTTTGCTTTTTAGGAAGTTTTCTAACTGCTCACCCTCTGTATACTTTCGTATCAGTGAGCTGAAGCATTTACACCAATGCCTAAGGGACAATTTTAAACTTGAAGTACAAATATAAATGCACCTGTTTGTCTTCATATAGTAGCAAGCTCACCCTTTCCAGTGTTCACTGAAAATACGAGATGCTTCTATGGATCTGTGTGATTACATCAAGAACTAATCCCTGTTTCCTCTGAGGAGTTTCATTTTCCTGTGGTCAGTATCCATTAGAAGCTGGCATGCTTCCTGGGTTATGTGCCAGGGTGCTGTAGTTTCAAGCTGTAGCAGCAGCATTACTGACCAATGCCTTAGTCAGAAACAAAGCTGCTGATAATACTCTCAGTTGATGTGCTTCTTAATAATAGCTGGGTCGGGTTTTTGTTGTCAAGACCACCAGAGGTTTTGCCAGCAGCAACACTGAACAATTTCCTCATGACTTGCAGTAAGGGAGGGATTTCTTTCTGAACCAAGTGCAATTGTAAGCACATAATCCATCTAACAGAGAATTGCCCTGGAAGGGCATGATCTCCGTTATGCTGCACGCTAACCAAGCCTCACCAGGGTGACTCAGCTCCAGCTAGATTGTTCTAACTAGGTGGGATTGTTCCTGAACAGTTTTAGATACTGTAGTACACTTACACATTTAGCCCATGGATTTAGGGAGTTTATCAGTGGATATAGGGTATTGGAATGGTTCATTTGGACATCGCAGGATCTAATAGAACACTCTCACCAAGGAACTGAGACCCTGAGCAAGATTTACATGGTGAATTATAGTCTGATATTTAAGTACCATTGGACCTTTACTAACCTCCAGATGTGCAAAAAATTACTTGGATTCCTGCTGTTGAACTTTGATGCCGAGCCATCAGAACAAATTCTGTGGTGTGCCTCTGAAGAATTTACAAACAAAATTTGTCACCAGCCTCTCTTGCTCATGAGATGTACTCATACATTCCCTGAAAACATTGGTCTGCTGGGTTGTGCTCAGTGCAGGGATTACAGATGTTATCGTTTTCCCTCATATTCAAGAGCCACATGATTAGAGAATGCTCTTATTCATGAGATTGAAGGAGAATTGTCTTGCTTGCTTTCCCTTGTTTCATTTTAGAAGATTAACTTGCTAGGAGCAACAGGGGTTCTTCAGGTCAGAATTAGGATAAAAGCTTTACTTTCAAAAGTCGGGCATTTCTGAAAAAAGGTCTAGAGTGTGCCTGTCTGCTGCAAGAAAATCTGTGCATCCTGGAAGGCGAGGCTTGTACATAGCTAGCAGTAACCAAGGGCTAGAGAATCAGAACAATCATTCTTATAATACCAGTGAGAGAAAGTACAGATAGCGCTTTAAATACTGCTGTAAACTCTCCTGACTTACCAAGTGTAATATGCTAAATGATGTGATTTCCCACACTGTTCATGTTTGTCATTATCAGTGGCTGTTTGACATGATTGATGAGAAATGACTTAGAGCTTCTCATAAACCATGTTCAGAAAGTGTGGATGCTGAACTTAGGCTGTATAGTTTTGTGTCTAGTTGAATGAGATAACACTGACACGATTACTGTGCTTACATTGATAAAACCCGTGCTTTTGCTGAGGCAGTGTGCTCATTCACCAGTTTTGAGCTGATCAGGGAAATTAAACCTGATTGCACTTCTGTCAAGAAGCCAGCTGGATATCA